GGCGGTGGGTCCATCGTGTCTAAGTCCTCTTCGTGGACCGGGTCGATGAGGACGTTTCGCGGGCGACGCTTGTTTACGTTCGCGTTAGTGTCCGGTAGGTAGTTTGCTGCGCTTACCACCAGAGGGTTGGGATGATGCTGGGCTCTATCGAAGAACCGTTTTGTCAAATCTTTAAAATGTGCGCGAATCGTCGGGAGTCTGCAATCGCTGTGCAGGTCGACGTTGCGCTGATACCATTGCGCACCGGTTGCGCGGCGGATAAACTTACTTTGAACTACTTGCAATTCGTTAATGCGCGTAGGATTTATATGTGCGAAGATCATGCATGCGTAGGACATGATTGGCCTTACGCAAGCTTTATATAACAGTAGTTTGTGCCTTAAGGGCATTTTACTTTTCTTATTCGTTAAATTGTGTAGCCGGCCGGAGACGAACGCGGCTTTATTTCGGACTTGATTGATGTGCGTAGTGAAAGTCATACGCGAGTCGAAAGTGACTCCTAAATATTTGACCGTTTTCTTCCAGGGGAGAGTTTGGCCATATAGTGATATTTGCCCCAACTTTCTGTACTGGCGAGGATCTTTGTAACGGTGTGGCGGATGGGGGTTGGGGGTGCTACGAGTGAAGTGAATCGCCACACTTTTTTCTGGATTAATATCGATTCTCCATTTGCGGAACCAATCGCCGAGGCGGTCGGCGGCGCTTTGGAGTCGAGTCGTTAATTGACTGAGGTTGCGATCTGAGTAAAAGAGCGCCGTGTCATCCGCGAAAAGCGCGAGATTGACGTGGGGGTCTCTAGGTATGTCGCTCGTGTAGAGCGTAAATAACAAGGGTGAGAGGCAGGAGCCTTGTGGTACGCCGGCCGTGAGGCGGCGCGGCTTGTGGAGAGGGTGCCCTCGACTCGATATCGAAAAGAGCGGTTCAACAAAAAGGCCCGGATGGTGTGTACGAGCCTATCTGGCACTTTGAGTGTGTACAGCTTGTAAAGCAAGCCGTTGTGCCAGACTTTGTCGAATGGTTTTGCGACGTCGAAGAAGAGAGGCCCCTAATGTGTTTGGGGTGGTTAAGGCCTTTTAGGATGTGCTCCGTTAGGCGGTATAACTGATCGGGACAAGAGTGTCGAGCTCGAAAGCCGAATTGTTCCGCCGGCAGAAGGCCGTTGGAAAACACGTGCTCCATGAGCCTGTTTAACAAAAGCTGCTCGTAGAGCTTCCCCAGGCAACTGAGGAGGCTGATGGGACGATAGCTAGAGGGCTGGTAGCTGGTTTATTCGGCTTGCGAATGTCGATAACCGTGGCTTGCTTCCAGTCGTCCGGAAAGGAGCAACTGGAGAGAAGGGTATTGAAAATGGTCGCCAGTAAACAGATAAGCGGCCCAGGGAGAGCTTTGAGAATCTTATTACTTATGTTATCTGGGCCCGGGGCGGATTTTGGTTTTAAATTTTTAATAATATCTTGGACCTCTTCGGGGGTCACTGAATTTAGAGGTTCGCCTTCCGGTGGAAGCGCAGCCCTAGTCTCGATTACGCGGTCCACCTCCGTTAGGTGGACTGAATCGGTGTGTTCGCGCGATGGCGTACATTGCTGCTCTAGTTGTCCGCAAGGCATTCGGCTTTTTCGGAGTCATCTAGGGCTACTGAAGCGCTATTAGATCTAACTAACGGCGGTAGAGATTCGCGGGGGTCTGCTTTCAGACTGCGGGCCAACCGCCAGTAGGCGGTGTGCGATGGCTCGATGTCCTCTAGGAGAGTGTCCCACGTTTTATGTCGGTGTTCCGATACACGATCTTTGACTTCTAGCTGAAGGCGTCGAAGTAGAGTTCGGTTCGATTCCGATCGGTATCGGTCGAAGGCGCGTTTAGCTGCATTTTTTTGTCTAATTAGCAGTCGTAGGTCGGGCGGAAAGTTAAACCGTCGGTCGCCCGACAGTTTCACTGTCCGTTCCGAGTCTGTGACTTCGGAAGTAATAGTTTCACGGAGACTCGCTATCGCTCGATTTGCGTCATCGAACGTAGCTATCGTCTCGGGTAAGTCTACTAAGTCCTGGGGGTCGAAGGCCTTGAGTTTGACCTCAAGACGATGCCAGTCCACTACAGATTTGGTCGGAGGGACCGCGCCGGCGTTCTGGCCCAGTTTACACAGGACGGGCCTGTGGTCTGAGTCTAGTTCATGGATTGTCTCTATCGACTCGATGTCAAGCGAGACCTCCCTGAATAACATTATGTCTAGGACACTCGGTGACGCGTGCTGGTAGTTGTCCACCGTAGGATACCTAGTGGGAGTCGCGGGAGCGACTATACTGAAATTTAGGTTATCGGATAAGCTAAAGAGATGCCTTCCGTTGTTGTTTGGGATTCTGTTGATGTCCCATGAGCCGTGTTTGCAGTTTAGATCTCCTGCAATTATCACGGAAGGGCCTAAGTTAAGAAGCGTATCTAGGTCGCTTTGAAGGAGGGTTCTATTCCCCGAGAGGTAGGCTGAGACTAGTACAAGCGGCCTGTGGCCGGTGAGCGCTAACCTACACGCGGATGCCTCTATTTGACTTAGCTCTGGAATGTCGAGCGGGCAACAGTGCAAGGACCGTTTATAATAAATTAATGTGCCTCCCAGACGGTTTGCTAACCGGTCGTGGCGGACAATATTGTAATTTGCGATTCTGGGATTTCGTACACTAAGTTTCAAGAATGTCTCTTGCACTAGAAAAATATCTACGTTGTAGTCGCGAAGGAATTCCGCGATTTCGTCCCTTTGACCCTTTATGCCGCTTGCGTTGAAATACGAAACAACCAGGGCCCGAGGTTTTGTTCTACCTGCGGTTGTACTTCCCATTAAGGTGTTTTTATGGGTCTAATTAACGACGCGGCGGAGCGCGGTTTTATTGCGCGGACTATTGTTTTTTACGGTTGGCTCGTAAAAGCCCAAAGGGCTTCCACAAGCGTTTGTGTTGGCTAATTGCCCTAAGACGCTCGTGGCCAGATGTGGCGGCCGCTATTTTAGCGGACAATACGGCGAGTTCCTGCCTATTGATTCTATCTAATAAGCTGCAAATGTTAGCGATTTGCGCGAATGGGTCGTCCTTGTTTTCCGCGAAAACTGACGGAGTTGGCTGCACCTGCAAACGCGGCGCCGTTTGAGAGGCGGGCAGCTGTTGTGCGATCGGTCGTGAGGCGACTGGGATTACCGGCGCGGTTACCTGCGCGGCCACCTGGGGTTTCGCCCAGGCGTTTACGACGGGTACGGGCGCGGGAATGAATCTAACGGGCGCGGGTTTCGGCAAATTTCGCGGGAGTTTTCGGGGCCTTAGCGCAGCCTCTGTAGCTAACCGGGTGGCCAGTGGCTTTACAGTTTACACAGTCCGGTGGATCTGCGCAATCTTTCGGCCTCGTGCACTCGGTTGTGCCGTGGTCACCGGTGCATTTGACGCACCTTGGGTGAGCGAAGCAGTTATTGACGGTGGCCAAAATGTTGACAGTTGTGGCACTGTGCCGCAACACCTGGGGGCTCGATGACTAAGTCACTGAGCCCACAGACCCTCTTAAGGTTGAAAATGGCCTTACCTTCCGGGGTAGGGTCAAGTTCCACCACGACCATGTCCATAGGGACACGGGTGCGAGGGTGCCTGAGACGACGCACGGCGTGAACCGGGTATCCCTGAGTGTGGATGTCGACCTTAGCCATATCGACATCCGACTCTTTTGGGACGCCCTTAATTACGACCCGAAGTTTACGCTCTTCGGGTAGTGAGTAGGTGTGGAAACCTACCTTAGCTTCGCGCAAGTACTTAGTTACGCGACGGAAGTCGTCCGAAGAATCGAGGTATACGCGGATACCCATATGCGTATTCTTGGACCCCATATGGGGTCTTGGATGTTGTGGCGTTCAAACCACGAACAAACCTGGTGCCACTTTGCCTTATCTTGTATTATTATTGGCGGCGGTGGCTTGATTTTTCGCTCGGAGGCGAATGTCGGTTCCGACTGGGCAGACGCGGCTGCCTTTTTGGCGGGCGTCGCGGTGGGACGGTTTGACGGGGCGGCCTCGCTTTCGGGGTCGCTGTCGGTAGCGTGGCGTTTCTTGCCCTTTTTTCGCGATTTGACGACGGTGAAGCCGTCGGCGTTCGCGTTGTTAGCGGGGGTCGTTTCGACCTCCATGTCTGAGCCGCCGTCCGATTGTGAGTCGGGAACGACAGCGCGGAAGGGGGCCGAAATGGTTTGCGCGGAAGGCGCGTTGGGTTCGTTCGCGGCGGCGGAAGTCGACGCGACGATTGTCGCAGAGGGCGACTCGATGACTGGCGCAGAGGGCACCGGAGATGGCGGCGAGGCGGCAGCCGGTGAAACCGGACTGTCACTAGAAAATTCGACGACGATGCGTCGTTCCCTCGCGAAATTCAAATATTTTACCCATAATTCAGGGCATTCTTGACGCAGGAATTCCTCTATGAGGGAACCCATGTCGACGCTTGAGCCTTTGGGGCTTGCGCCCCGCCGGCGTGTGGTTTTCTAAATAGGCCTCCCCACCTTGCGGCAGGGAGGTGTGTGCCTAAAATTAACCTTTAGTCGCCTGCGCTTTAGGTGCGCTAGGGTGAGTACCTAGCGGTCGCCTAATGCAACAAGCACACAGGTAAAAATTACAATGCCGCCTCTGAGACGAGAAATGTGTGTAGAATTCTACTTACGGACAGGAACCTGCCTACGAGCACAACACTACACTAACACTATCCGCTCGGAAGTCGGGCAAAGTTTCTTCTTTCTTCTATAATGTTTTTTCTTTCTTCTATAATGAAATAGTAAAAATAAAAATGTTTCATAGATATGCCAAGTTTGCCAATCCGCAGTAGTTTCGTTGGGTAGACCATTCACCAATACCCTCTGTGCAGAGAAGGGTTTTGCCCCAGTAGTGGGACGTATAGACTGTTACTTTACTTTTTTACTTTTTGCATTTCTTATTTTGCACTGGCATAAAATTATTCCATTTTTACTTTATTATTTTCATTCATACATACCTCTACTATAGCTTTAGGAATCCAGGTCACAGCTACGAAAAGGCTTTCTTTAATCGAAAGCCTATTTGCAATAGCTATCAGGAATGCTGTTAGTAGTCTCAGCAGCAGTGCCAAAAATAAACACGCGACTATAAGTCCAAGTTCTTTCAGGGTCATCTGTGACACCTAAGGAATGAATAAGCTTTACGTTACCACCAATTTGAAACAGGTATTAAGGTAAATAAATACATTAAACAGTTTTTTAAAGAACGTGGGGGAGAAAGGATAGAAGAGATTTGTAAGAAAATATTAACATAACATCTTGCTTTTTAGAGTTTTTTATAAATTCCTGTTAATTTGTTTATGCCAGATTTTATTTTATATTTTGTAAAATTTTTATTATGATTGTTAGCGTCACCTGATGACGTACAAAGTAATTTGTTTTATTAACATCGAGTGCAATGGATACGAACTTTGTTTTGCTGTATTGATGACATTTGTTCACAACTAGAACAATGAACTATTATGAAACGGAGTAGAGTTATGATAGTTTATATAAATTGTAAAACTTGTTTTTAAATTTATCAACGTAACATGGTATTATATTGCTACAAATTAATTATAAATTTAAGTGAAAAGTTCCACGATGAGTAAAAATAGGAATATGATGAATCGTAAATAACTTTCATGGGAAAGTTACGTTTAGTACGTAGTGTTGTTAGTAAATTTAAAATTTATATCAAATATTATTAACTATTTTGTTATTATAAAACATTTTTTTTTCGCCATGAAAGATGAATGTCATTTATCATGGAAACTAAATCGCTATTTTTAACGCAGTCACACGTACGTACATAAAATTTCTACGGTGGTTTTGGTAAATTTAATGAATTAGGACTGGATGGAAAAATAAATACATAAATACAGGCTGCGCTAAAGTACCTTACTTTACCTCTAGAAAATATCCGCTCAAAGTAAAAAGCATTGGTTCAAATATCAGCCACAGGACTTTGTACACTGTGGCAACAGGGTTGCTGTTGATAGGCCAGTCACGTCGCGACCAGCGTGTCGCGGCAGTTACCGCGCAGACCATGACCGCTACTCCGGCTAAAAGAGTTCCTTAGCATCTTAAGCTGTGTCGTTTATGGCGCAATACAAATAATAGATTTGCATCGATATTTGTCAAGACCTACTTTAGCAGCATTATGGCTTATGCCACAATTTTGTCGAAGTTTTTGTGCATATTGGTATTTATAGCATTTTTAATAAGAGAGATTTAATAATTTTTTGTGACAGATAATTTAAAAAACTTTAACTCTAATTTAAGAAATGTTATATAAATTAAAAAACAAAATTAAGGTAATATAGCTTATAAAGCCAAAAGCTTGCTTAATTTATTATGTGCTGAAAATGTATTATTACACACTAAAAATTATTTCGTCAATAAAAAAATGTTGAAATTATCAATTGATAATTTCAATTTTTTTTTGTATAAGCCATAATAAGCGAAATGAATTGAAACAATAAACGAAATACGACATCGTTATAAACATCCTCACTCTTAATTGATCCTAATTGAAATGAAGGCTATCAAAGATGACCCAGCAATTAGTTCCACGACTTCAGTTACTTTCAAACCCTTGTGTTCATGAAGAGGACATTATGTCGCATTAAGGTCAGATTTGATGCGGACTTTTTGTTCTAAATGAAAATGGAAAAACTTCTGCAGCCAAAACTTTTAACAGTTTATTAATTTGTGTGTGTGAATGAACTAAAGTGAATGTTTCATTTCATACAAAATATTTCTTCTGTTCTTGTAGCAATTACCAGTGCAAAGTAATTGCAGAACCAGACTACGACTATTTAGCTAACTGGCAAACGGAGCGTTTGCGGCTAAAGTAGAATTAATAGCCAAATACATAGAGCTGGTGTAATAGAGATATTCGAGTATTGATCGGTTCGTTACTACGTACATCAATGTTCTATTGTATCCTTGCAAATTGTACTGGAGCGTGATTTCATAAGGAAATAAGGATTCATTTTCACGATAGAGGAAATAAGGATTTCACAGCTATCACATCAAAGTTCAGTTCAACTTTAATAAAAAGCAGAGGTGCAATTGTGGGAAGAAATGAAATCTATAACACATTGAGTATATTGACGGAAATATATCTTAAACACGTTTCACGTATCTATTTGCAACACCTGGATCCACCGAGCTCAGCACATTTTAGGTTTCATTTCAATATATAACTTTTATTTCCCTGCGTGTGTTTCGCCGTGTGTTCATTTAAAGAAACATCGCAATTTATTGATTCATATAATATAGTAGTCTTTTAACCCTCAAAAATACAGTATTTCCATATTTATTGTATATATTATATACTTCATACTCGTATTTTTAGATATAAGTTTTTTTGGTTCAAACTGAACATTCTTTTAAAAATAATTTAAACTTTTTTACTCACAAGTTCCACCCCATCCAAGGTATCCGCTGGCGTAAGTAAGGAAAATTCCTCCAGAAAAAATTAACAGGCTGCGTAGAGTTGCAACGTAGGGATCAGTATGGTTCGGTAAAGTGTCTGAAACTACACCCCAGGCCACTCCTAATCCGATACCCACAAAAATAGCTAGAACCGCCTATGAACAAAAAAAAAAAAATTTTAAAAAAGCTTGATGGTAACAGAAAATACGTTAAAAACATTAATTTGATCTGTTCATATTCCTGTTCTATTAAGATAATTCCACTAACATAAAAATTTTGGTAAAATTTTATTTAGCATAAAATACGGCAATACAGCAATAAAATAAGCAAAGAAAAGAAAATCCATAAACAAACAAACTTGTTACGAATAAAATACAATTGGGTCCGTTCAAGTCCGTTTCCGGCCACAAGAGCCCCGTGATGCGGTTTGAGGTCGTGCAAACATCCTACAAGTATATTGGGTTCAGTGGGCGAACACATTATTTGAATTTTAAATTACATTCGGTACCGTACATGTTGCACGGGCTTTTGGTTTCATAACTTTTTGTGAATAAAACCTAACGATAAGGAAATAAATTACATAGGTTGTTGATTAGCCTCTTCGCACTTGATTTTTTCGGGTAGCGAATGTGTCTGTTGTATGGGACCCATACTTAAATATTTTATTATACTTTTTTGTGTTTTAGTGTTAGTTGTTAGGGCGGCAACAGAAATAAATCATCTGTTAAAATTTCAGCTGTCTAATTATCACGTTTCAGGCAGTCTGGTGATAGACGGACGGACAGACAGACAGACAAACAGATAGAAAGCGGAGTCTTAGAAATAGGGTTATTAGTAATAGGGTCCCTTTTTAGCCTATGGGTACGGAACTATAAAGACGACAGCAAGTGATTGTCACTTTAGCATAAATGTAAAAAAATCATCCGTCTGTCTCGTCCTTAAACGTTTTAAACTTATTTGCTCTCTGTTCGTAGCTTCACTCTGGGCGCGTTAACATCATATCTGTAGTAAAAAATATTATTGCTGTTGAGTATATATATATGAAATAAATGCAAACCAGTTGATAACACCTAATATCCTCTGTACAGAGGAGGTGAGGAGGATTTTAAGTGTTGTCTTTTCACATGCTCAACGGTGAAGGAAAACATCGCGAAGACCCCTGAATATTTTCTAAATACTAAAAAATATATATTTCGAAGATATGTGATGTTCGCCAATCCTCAGTGAAGTCGCATGGTGGACTATGCCCTAATACCCTGTGTACAGAAGCCGTAGCCCAGCAGTGGGACATATACAGGTTGTACTATTACTTTAAAATTGTTACGTGTTGTTCTTAATTTCTAACACTAACTCTCACAACAGGGAACTCAGAAGCTACCTTTATTACTCGGTACGCTGGCGGAGCCGGGTAAAATATGGCACTATTGATCACGCCAAACATGCCTTCTGTGAAAGTGGTATCCAAACCACCGGCGTTCGCAACTAGTAAAGCGATCTTATTTCTTCTGCCAAAACCTTTGGAATTTAACGCCATAACAGTCGGCACGACAACAGCTGGGGATACTGACGATAAAATTGAACCGAGATGCAATCCTGAAAGCATAAATTAAGCTTTTGTTACATAAATTGATTAAGGCTCAAGGGTAAAGCTCTAGGGCAGTGATTCTCAACCTTTTTTTTTTGTTGCGGCACATATTAAACGATTTCAAAATTTGGCGGCACACAAAGAAAAAGATAAAAATTATTTACTTACTACAACACACTGCATAAATAGTTTATCACAAAAATTTTAAATATACGAAATAAAATAATATATACTACAATAATAACTAAACGTTTATTAAGGGATTAATTACAATTACATAATAAAAATATTTTTAATGCGAAATTTGAGCTTGATGTTTTTTGATAATTTCATTTATATTTGGTCGTAAAAATGACAATGCTACTCTCATATCGTCTTCTACATTTAACAATCCTGATCTTTTTTTAGTTTTAATGTTGGCTAATGCCAAAAAATATTTTTCTTTTTAAATGATATAATTTAATAATATTAACATTATTATATATTATATTTTGCAAAATTTGGCGGCACACTTTTGAAATTTGGCGGCACACAAAAGTGCCGCGGCACAGTGGTTGAGAATCACTGCTCTAGGGACTTCCACATAAAAATAAAATTTCTGCTTTTATCATTTGTGATTACTATAATAATTCAGATTCAAATTATTAGCCTAAATAAAAGTTAAAATTCAATAAGTAGCCGAGGTACGCCATTGTTTTCTAACAAATGTTCAGGAAACATAGAATGAATGCTATCGCTGTTACTTTCTCTCGTAAATCGCGTAAAAAGCACTTTCCGCGCCACTTACCCCAATACCAAGGATATTCGAGAAGTACGTGAGTAAAGATAGCCGTAGACAAACACTCTACTATCCAGGGCAGTGTTGCCAAGAGAAAAACTTTTACAGAATTATTCTTTATGTATGGCCAGTTCCAACTAAGTGGCCCTTTAGTTAGGATGAGGACTGGATATATGCGTCTGAAATAAAAATTGCAATTAGTAAAAAAATCTTTGTTTGCTTATGTGTTTTAAACTAGAGTGAAATTGCTATGTTACAACGTTGAAAAATATTTAAATAAAATAAGGATCTAATGCCAAGATACAAATAAACAGCCTTTTCTACCGGCGGCATTTCAATCAAAATTTTAAAATAAAAGAATAAATTATTGTGGCATAAATATAATGGTTAGACATATGCTGTCGCAACCTTGTTTGTAAATAATGGTGTGTTCTTCAAAGTCGTAGTATATTATTTTATTCTATCATCAATAGTATTCGCAGCGCACGCGATGTAAAGAATATTTTAAGTAATTTTTGTACACTTTGAGTTACATTATTGAAGTTTTAGTGAGGATCCCTAGATTTAAAAAAAAAAAGAAATTTTGAAATCGGTTCAGTAGTTTCGGAGCCTTTTCAATACATACAAAAAGTTAAATCTTTCCTTTTATATGGTAGGTGGAATGGCAGGTGGTGTAGGTTTGATTTTCGGTTTTCTTTTGTTATTTATTTCTGGATTCGGTCGCCGCTCTCAAAGCCCGCGATAAAAGCTATGCAATAGCTTAAAAAGCTTACGGTGGTAGGGCCACGCAGCAGCTTCGGCTGATGCACCAATGGGCAGGCTCGTCCGGGTAAGTACCACGACCTCACAGAAGATCAGCGTAAAGTGGAAGTATGACAAATACTTTCGCGTTTCGTCTGGTGAGTGAGGTAGCCGGAGCCCAATTTTCAAAAGGTTGTCAACGCATCTGTAACCCTCGGGTGTGGCAGATGTCCATGGGCGACGGTATTCACTTAATATCAGGTGAACTGTCTGTTCGTTTGACCACTTTTCGCATAAAAAAAAATCTTTTTAAGAAGACTGGCTTTGATCTTAATCTCTCGGAAATCATTAGTTTAAGACATTAAAAATCAAAAATCAAAATAATTTATTTATCGAAATAAGAAATATACATTTCATTTATCGATAGTAATTTTTTAATCTACCACCGTGTCGTAATGAGGTTCTTCTAACCGAGAAGAAACAGGCGAACGAAACTCCGTAGGTATCCTCTTTTTTGTCAATTTTTTTTTTCTCAAACAAATACATTGTTATACAGTACATATTCTTTTTAGATACAGCTTAGGAGCGATCATCTCATTCCCAGGGGTTATTATCGTTAATGTATTCATTTATATTATAATAACCCTTTTTAAAAAGTTTTTCTTTAATAAATTTCTTAAACTTATGGATAGGCTTTGCATATTAACTGGGATTTTGTTGTAGAAGCGTATACACCGTCCCATGAACGAGTTACTGACTCTTTGGAGTCTAGTAACTGGCGTTACAAGCTTGTGTTTGTTCCTAGTGTTTACATTATGTACATCAGTATTCTTATTAAAATGATTAATGTTTCTATGTACATACATTACAATTTCATATATGTATTGAGAGGCCAAGGTTAACATATGTATGTCTTTAAATTTCTCTCTCTGAGATGCATTCAAATTAAGATTGTGAATTTTTGCAAAATAAATATTGTTTCAACATCGGCTGCATGCCCCCATAGCAAAATACCGTATGACATTATGCTATGGAAATAACTAAAATAAACGATTTTAGCTGTATTTACATGAGTCAGACATCTTATTTTCCTTACAGCATATGCTGCAGAACTTAGTCTGCTAGGAAGTTTGGATCATCGTTGGGTCAAATTGCAAAGACAGTATCAAGATCTCGGTTATAGTTAAGATATTAAAAAAATCGTTTTAACAGTACCTATATAGGCATTATAAAGCAAAATGAGATTATTGATTTTTATTTGGTCCTTTTCAGTGCCTACAATTGATAATGTAGCAATCCAACATGATTGAACATGTTGTGCTGACGCCAACTCGTCGGGTTAGTGGGTTATGAGCTTCAGAAATACAAGTGATACAATTTGGTGATAGGTTTGCAGAATTTGTCAAAAAGAAATGCAATTTACATCAAAATGAACTATACCCTGCTCTTAAAAAACCCTCAGAAATATTCAAATGAAACAATATTTTTCTACTAGAAAAATTTACAAGATGCCACATACTTAACCTATGGGGACATAGAAAATATAATGTAGGGATAACCACTTTTCGTCGAGTATGTCAATTTTTTAAGTAAAAATGGTTATTATCGAATCGTATACCGGGTAGAAAAGTAGGTAAACCGTACTTTTTGCATTCTAGTCACAGGCATTCGAACACGTAATGTTAAATCAAAAGTTACGGTCCAACCACTGAACTGCAACCATTGGCAATAATTATTGTCTATATCTTATTTTTATTACACTGAAAATGAGTTGAAAACTAGTAAAAAAAAAACTAGTTTAAAAATATACTTATTTTGAGTAATTTTAAAAAGAGAATATTATTATATTGTTCAAAATTAAATCTATTGTCAGTAGATGACACTCCAATTTAACAAATCTATTTCGGTATAATCCCTTTGGCAGGGATTATACCGAAATAGATTTGGTAACTATCATATTTCGTCTAAACAACGATCGCGTTTCTGTCATTGGATATCTCTTTCTATTTATACAATACCCGAAGACTATTAAGACAAGTTACAAATGGAAATTTTGTATCAAACCTCTTATTATGAGTATAGCCATAGCGAACGTGCTTAAAAAGCAATCTTTAAATAAATTATGTATATGGTAATAATGAAGCAGGTAATCAATATCGAGTTTCATATAGAAAGTTTTCTGGAAATATATATATTAAGCTAGTTTATAATTATAACTTATCATTACAACTTTTAATCAATTTCTCCTCCGGTTTCACAATGTTTATATTATAACATATTTTCAGATGCTATCTAATATAACATCCTTACTAAACTACATTAAACTTTGAACTAATATTATAAAGGTGAATGTTTGTATGTATTGATGGATGTTTGTTACTCTTTCACGCAAATAGTACTGAATGGATTTAATGAAACTTTACAATAATATAGCTTATACATCAGAATGAGACAGAAGCTGTAATTTATATACATATTTTATGTATATCTGTTAAATGTTACGCCTCAGCTTGTTCTACGCAGACGTAGTCGGGGGCAGCACCTAGTACGTTATATTTTGAAGCATCTGAAAATCTGTTTTTTATATTTTATATAAAAATATTTATATGCAACCTAATAAATAATAAAAACCTAATAAAAAAATAAATAGTCCATTTATGTTCTTTATCCTTAACAGTGTACTATGAGTAGGTACCTATATCTACTAGAAATGGGCCGAATATTCTTATTCATCATATTTGGGCAACTTTTGCCGATTAATCACCAAATGTTTGAATAGAACTGTACTGTACCGGTTTACGTAAGCCAAAATACTTCATTCTGAAAACTGTATATCGTAAAGGAAACACACAAACCTACACTATCTCGAGTAACCGTCATTTATTCACAAAATTAAAAAAATGACATAATTCACTTAAAATAATCAACCATTTATAAACAAAACACGATTTCAGCTATCCCTTTTATCTTGAGTGTATACAGCGTGTCGTTACAATCGCGACAATAAATGAACACACGTCTAACGTTACTTGCCAATAATCATAAGAAAATATTAACGTTAAACAAAATCCATAATTAAAAAAAAATAAAGAATTTAAATGTTTAATACAACTTTAAAAAGTTATTCCCTATATGTGTGTTCATTTATTGTCGCGATGGTAACGACACGCTGTATAAGATTAATATACAAATATTCCTTAATAAATGACCGCTACTTAACTTTGTATATTTAATACTATATTAATAAAAGGGGTACAATTTTGTAGTATTACCCTTAATCCACTGCTGCACAAATTCTTCACTACAAATTTGAAACTACAACGCAGACCAAGACAATACGACTGCTTCCACGAATAGGTGGCAAAGGCTAGAGATAGGTGAACGGTTTTACGCTTCACCCATGAATAGATATTATCTATTTATGGATATTATGATAGATATAATAGATATTATGATATATCATGAATAGATATGTCTGCAACAGCGGTACCAAGCCCGAAACTTCTTTATTTTTTATCGAATGTAAAAAAAAAACAATTTGATTCAAGTACTTACTTTCTTTTCTATACTAAGTAAGTATGAAGAGAACTATTTGAAGCCTAAAAGTACCTATTGATTGCTTTGCTATAATAGGAACATCCCTAATACATAAGTGCCTCTACGTCCAATATAAACTTGTTTGACCGCATCCCCGGTCTAATTTTCGGTTACTAGTATCGGAATGTACCCATATTTGGCGCATCTCTGATATTGCTTAAAATTAGGAAAGTAACTGGATAATTAGTAGTAAACGAGGTACCTCTTACAAAAGGTTATTAAATGGGTTTATTCGCTTAAATGAGGATACTTGTTATAAAAACTTGTCACACTTCATGAATAAATTCATCAAGACAGTACACCTAAACCTGGACTTAAGACGATTTGATTGCGTGGGAATAGAAATAACTTTACTAAATATGCAGGTTGGTTCATCATCATCATCAGTTCATCCTGTTTAAATCCACTGCTGAATAGGTCTCGTACAGGTCGCTTGGTTTACGAAAATTTTGACAGATCTTTGTAACAACGCGAATAGATTAAAAAATAAAGATAGACAATAATCTAGGAAAATATCGTTTCATTGACATTCAGTTATAATATCACGGTCTTACCGTAAATGGTAATCAATATTGTCTGCAACAGGATCCTCTAATATATTTGTTTGGCCGAAGCTTCGATACAAAGCTCCTACTAGAGTCATTCCCGCCATTGCACTGATTGTGGTGTACCGCTCCAATACATGACCAAACACATATCCAGCTACAACGATGCCAGCCATATTAAATATGGCAGTCCCTGGTAATACTGCATCTTGAAGAACAAACCACGAAGTGCACCAAAGGGTGAAGCCTGTAATTTACAGTTCAACGTTTATTAGATTTAACTTGAATTTAATTTTTTTATATTGTCAAAAACTTTTGTTACAGATAGTACGAAATTTAAAGTTCTATTTATTTAACCTGTTAAAAATATATATTTACCGCATAAGATAACAGCAAAATATTGCTTCAACTCCCGTTTTGACGGTACCACTTCTAATAATTTTGAGGAAAATGTGCTCGTTCTGTCCACACTCAAACTGTTTCTATATAAATAAAAACATATTTCTATAGTTCAGTAAAATAATTATTTATTTATTTAAATTTTATTCATTATGCGTTATGATTTTGATTAATTAACACTAATTTGTGTAGTACGCACATGACAATGCAAAAATATAAATTGGAAAATTAATACTTACTCACGTTTTGGAGCCGTCAATTTCCATTGATATGTTTTTTATGGTCTCATTGATTTCGACTCTTGCTAAAAATTACAATATTCATTAGATTTATGAACAAAAGTTTGAAACTCTATATAAATGGCTTTAAATTAGTATTATCTAAAAAAATATGTTAATAAAATTTTCCAAACTGTTTTTTTAAATTATTTAAATAGATTAAGGCCGACTAAATTACCAATACAGATAGTTATGTAAGGTGCAAACTTAAAAACAAGTACACAGAAACTCACCGATTCCATCGTGTTCTGTCATGTTGATCCAGCACTTTTATGTCTTCAAACAACGGCTAAAAGAATTTGAATAACTGGTTATTTAAAAATATTATTTGTTCACTTAAGTGAGACGTCTGTTAAACGATGGGCGCTATACGTAATTACTTTGTAAACACAACGGACGCCCGTATCAAACCGCCCATAGACATGTGATCGCGTTGACCATCCTGCCATTAATAAAATTCATCGCACGCGCACTCACTTCAATTGTGCTGATAGAAAATAAATTAATGAAAGACGAGCTGTTGTCATTAGTGTAATATATCATTTTACGTAAGCTGGCGGCGTTGTAGTACACTTTTCCTTGGAACCGGGATCCACAAACAATTCCTAATTGAACACAATTTATACGTATGTTTCGTGCTTATAGAAATATTACTTTAAACTTAAATTAATGAGATAAATTTTCGCCATAATTTAAAGCGAATCGCTTTATCACAATTAATTTTAACTTTATTACAATTTAATTTTAATTGGAATGAATTTGTGGATGGTGCCCTAATTACAGAATTTAAAGTAGTAACTATAATGAAATTCAAAAGTATTTTTTGTGACATCATTTCTTTGTAATTTTAATTTAATTCTCCAATGTTTTTTTTTCTATGTTTCGTTTACTTAAGCCATTGCTTTAGGCGTAGGTACATAGTACATATATAATCGGAAATCTCGGAAGCGGCTCCAGCGATTTTCATGAAATTTAGTATGTTCGTAGATTCGGGGGTGAAAAATCGATCTTTGTTGTTTCATTTTTAGAAAATGTCTTTTTATCACTGTTTTCAGGGAATGAAAAATGTCATTCGAATATGACGGTAAATTTCGCCGAAAAAAAAAATGTTATAATAGCTCGGCGGTAATCGGGTGGCCCCCGAACAGCAGGCCGCGGTTCGTGTCACGATAATTTACGCACTTATTTTTTTTACTTTCTTTCTATATCAGATCATTGCCAATTTACCAAAAAGAAAAACGATCAAAGCTCGGTCCTCCAGGTACTATAGGGTAATACGAGTATTAATTGGACCTGAAAACAATTTCACATCAATTGTTTGTTCCGAGTAATGAAATTGGGAGTAAATACTGCTATAAGTCATTTACGGTAAGTATTTGAAAATTAGTACCTGTTTAATTATGTTTGAATTGTCTCGTTTGTATTTTGAATAATTGTTCTGTGTGAAATAGATCATCGTCCATTGTTAGTGCATAATACTTGGCAGTTATTCAATAGTATTGTTATTCTTAGAAATCCGGGTTGTCAGACCTTGTACCTTAAATTATTTTTAACAAATTTCATGGCGCGCATTGAATAAAACATAACTAGTAATAATACAAACTATCGTACATTTTTTTTATTCAGAGTGCCGTTTAACATAATGCGCTATCATTGTACAGAGTTTAATACACATTCCCGGTATCAAAGAAAAAAGCTATTCGACAGCACAAAGGCTGCTGAAGAAGCAAGCCTTAATAAACCTTACAATAATGAGGACATATTCACGTTGAGGATAGAAGAAAAACTGAACCAGTTCCGAATAGAAATGCGCGATCTTGACAAGGCGGCCACTCGCTGGGCGCTGCGTTAAAGGAAAGCCATTTCGACGGTAAACACTAACGCACGAACGGAAGCGTCTTTCACCCTGTTCCCGCCGAGTTGGCAAGCGGCAGGCCTGTAAAGCGCGGGCAATTTGCGCCGTAACCCGCCGGATACTGGCAGCTCATTAACTATGAACGCCGTCATCAAGGCGTCTCTTCTGCAGAAAAAACGTTTAACAGTAGCACCCTCCGCGAATAAATGCAACCGCGACGAGGAAAAACACCGCCACAAAGTGCATATAAATTGCGATGTTAAATTGAAACGGAGACATGAAAAGGGACTTGCCAAGGGACTTCTTTAGAGGCCAGTTATGGATGGTCCTCTTTCATCCACGCTGTCTGGGCGGAATAAACAGTTGTGATATACCAAGGAACATCTCGGTATAAACATATTCGTTTTTATAGTAAATGAGGAGTTTTGTAAGTTGGCAAGTTGAATCTTGTTTTGTTATCGTTCATGACCTTGTTTTAGCATCCTGTCTCTATTAACACATGCATGTTTCTTTAGTATCGAAGGAGTTTAAAAAACGTCTCATCACTTGAATGAAAATATGGTCTCGCCAAGTGCTTTTCAGGGACTAACGTCAGTACGGGGCTAATTTCAGCAATGGATAAGCCTTTCCTAATCCCTTCGCTGCTATGCGCCAACATACTTTTTCATATTGCCGCATCTAGGAAGTACACAACCTTAGGGTAACCATAAAATATATGCCAACTATGAATTAATTGTTACTAAATAATTATGCATAGAGTCAACAATTTTAAATATGTAGATAAAACATCGTATGAATTTTCACCACTGCCGGTATTTGAACCGTGCTTTCTGCATTACGCTTCCTAACGCCTCAGTCGCTAAGCTAAACGGTCGACATCCTCACCGCGCGAAAATCTACGTCTTATCTAGGTTGTTTTATTGCATTTGTAGTAATGCTTGACGTTACATAACGTTATCTGATATCGTTTACAGCAATCACACTTTCTCAAATTTCTTTTTTTCAATTTTTTTATTTTTTGACATTTTTGCCTGTTGAATTGTAATGTTTAATTTTCAATTATTAGTCTCTACATTTCTTTTTTCTATTTGAAGTTGTATAGTGCCAGGATACCGCCTTTGAATACTGGCCTTTGAAGGCTTGCAGATACGTACCTCACACTCAGAATAAACGCGAGGCCGTGATTCGTCCCGGTCGCGCCTGCCCACTTGTGCAACAGCGGAAGCTCTTGCGTGTAGTGTATGCTCTTGCACAGTATATGCGCTGTTTACTAAAGATGAAACTTAAAAACGTGTAGATAAAACATTCTAGAAATGTTTCGCCGCAGTCAGGGTTTGAACTTGCACTTTCCGGATAACGTGACAAGACGTGTGAAATGATACTTTATATTCTGCGTTTAAAAGCGATCGTAACGCTTTTGAAATTGGACATTGGTAACTGTTATTCGTAAAGACTTTTGACGTTCCAAAATTTCTACACCCGTCGTATATGTCCATATGTAAAAGGCTGGTATCCGTGACCGTTGTGTTTCTTACTTCTTGCTAACATAAATAAAATGTTGGCAGTAAACTACTTTCACGACAATAATAAGGTTTTAGAGGTTGTTTATATTTTGCAGTACGGGCCACGGCTCACTAAATTTAAGAATGTTTACGACCCGAGCTATTTTGTTCATAAAAGTGTGTCCAATGTTTTGAACTTGTAATATAACAATTTAGGCCGTGAAATATACCCAAAAATTCTATAATATAATAATAAGATAATCATATCGAATTTTTATCACTATTTAATGTCGTAAAAACTTTGAATATAATAGTAAATGATGAATTTAAGTAGTTACAAGTCAATTATATTATAATTCAACTAGCGGAACCGACAGACGTTGTTCTGTACATACAACTTAAATTGACAACTTCTAAATACCAAAATTTAAAAAAATGTTGTGGACTGAATTGTTAATTTAAACAATTCATGAATCGACCTGAAGACACCCAAGAAATTTCATTAAAATCGGTCCAGCCGTTTAGGGGGAGTTCAGTGAGATGCACATGCACAGAAGAATTATATATATACCAGCTGATCCGCCATCATTGTTTTGCCATATAAAATATTTCTAGGGAATTTGTGAATCTGAACACATAGAAAAAGAATTTTTGGAACGCACGCATAAAATGTTTGACAGGTAATAACAGTTTGTATAGGAAAATAAAATTGTTGCTATTTCGAATTTCGTTGCAATTTTTCCACAATTTCTTATCATTTAAACCCTCCCTGGACTGCAACAAATATTTCAAAACCAAAATAAGAAAAATCAGTCCAGCCTTTATCGAGTTTTAGCGAGACTAACGAAAAGCAATTAATTTTTATACAGATAATGAAGATATATATATAATTTTTTATTGAATACATAAATAAACATAAATATCATTGGTTACAGTTGAGATCTTTTTCAATATGCATTATATCTGCCAAGGAGTTACGGTGGCAATGTCGCGAAGGTGTTACCCGGTTACGAAATAATGATAAAGAATTTTTATTTCTTCGGTTGTCACTCATGTTTGTCATTCACTCTTGCGTGAAGCCCGGCTGTGGTATTTTTCCTAAAGGAAAACACTGTTAAAAACTCAACCACACGCGCTCTGTCTTTACGGAACCCTTCATTGGGCAAATAGGGCAAGAAATAAAAGAAAAGCGGTGCACATATCGTTTCAAAAATCTTTTGCAACATATGTCAATCACGTTAATATTTCATTAATAGTAGCCAATCACCTTGCAATCATATTGACATAAAAATATGATGACCGTTCAAATTAATTGAGCCATCTGATTCTGTGAGGCGCTTCATAATACCTACATCAATTTAGATAACCGTCGTAAAGACGTTGCTTGTTATGATCACTGCTCCTCTTTAGATTATAAATATCTTTTTTCACCTTGTTTTCAAGAAGACACATAAATAATGAGTTTTTAATACTGTGTATTTATTTTTAGCTGCGTTTAGCATTTTAGTTTAATATTTCTAATATGAATATACGAGGTGTCCTTCTATATTTCATGCAAATGTTATAAATGAAAAAAAAAAAACAAGGATACACTAGATGACCTCTGGTCGATTAATATGAGTTGGTACGGTCTAACTAATTTGTTGCTTTTGGTGTAAGTATATACTGTAGTCAAACCATTTATAATGTTTTTTTGCAAAATGTGTTTACTTTGTCAAGTTGAAAATTTCTTCAGTTGGCTGTTGTTACTCGCCGAACTTAAAAAGGTAGAAAGATTTGAAAAAGTTGAACAAAGAAGTCATAAAAAATGTATGAGGGTGACATTAATGTCGTTTCCAACACTAAAACGAGAGAGTCCGCATTGCTACTTCTGTTTTAAAGCTTCAAATAGTAGTAGGTTTTGAAATTAAATTTTCATTTTTATAACTTTTACCTTGTGTTTTTTTTTGGAACATATAACTGACATAAAAAGCAAAAAAAATAATCAAACAGGTCTGCAGTCTGTGAGCCTTCAATCCTTCACACCTTCAATCGCCCCACCCACTTACAGATCCTTGCAAAAGAAAATCGATTCCTTCCAAAGGCTATCGAAATTAATAAATATTAGTTTAAATAAAACTTAAAACACGTTTTGTAGATAACCGAACTAAAAAGAAGAAAATAATTTTCAATAAATTTAAATTATGAAAAGTGTGATTAAAAAACAATGTTTTTTATTGTAGAAAAGCGATGGGTTCTTGGAGTCAACAGTTACAATATTTAATCACAGTGGTATACATTATACTGGTAAAGGTTGAGTTATAATGGAAATATCTTAAAATGCACCCCACGCTTTTATGCAATATTTTTTTTTCATACTATTCGTAATTTAATTTTATTGTCAATTATTTTCTACTTTTAAGGGTTATCTACAAAAGCATGTTTTGTGATTTAACTATTATTTATTTCCTTGTTTTTAGTTCTGCTAAATATAAAAGGGTGGTTTTTTATTTTTAAACATATTTTAAATGTTTATTTTGCACAAGGACACTAGCGGGTATCGGATTAGGAAAAAAGGTAATCAAAATCGAGATAATGGGAAAAACTATTTAAATTATTGCATTGTCATGGGTTTGACGAGTGTACAAAGTTTGAAACAAATCCGATCGTTCATATAGGTGAAACTAAAAACAGCCTAATTTCCACAAAAAAGACGGTTGGGTGCTACCATCAGCTCGGGATCCTATTAATAATAAAATAAAATATAGGCCCAAACGAACCGCTACTGCAAGATAAGACACATTTAGTCCCTTCAGCGTAGACTGAACATAAAATAAATAATTAAAAAAACTGGCGGTAATTCTGCTACCAATGACGTCCAACGCCTCAGTTTGTCCCGTGACCAATAACAGTGTAAAGGGATCGAAACGTTAGGAATTTAAATTTAAAATTCACGGGATAAATCCGTGAGAAATAGTTTCATTTAGTAATATGTTACCATATAAATAGAAGAAATTAACGAAAACCTGTTTATTAAATACAAATTTACATTTACGATAGAGCAAGAGCATCGTGTAATTTGCAGTAAATTATAGTACGTGCCAGATTGTTACCATTTTCCATGTAATTGTTTAGATGTGGCTTTATAACGAGCAGCTGGCTACGAATATTTAAATGGTACAAAATTTAAATCGCGGAATAGTGAAATTTGATGCAACTTCTGTGGAAGGCTGCAATTACCATTCGGCGTAACAAGAAGGGTTTAGTATGTTGGAAATTATCAATACGTATCATAAAGTTAATTTAATTTCTTATGCAGTGGGATGATAGTATCGTAAGACCTATCAGCCTTAAATAAATTAATTTAAGACCAATATTTATTTTCAAAAATAGTTTTTATAAATAAAGTTAAACACTATGCATATGATAATCAAGCTTTTCAACAAATTGCGTTTTAGGCACTAAAAAGTTTTGTAAACATCCTGATATGACGATGATGAAAATGACGATTTT